CCCGGGGAGCAGTTGGGGGTTTGGTGCCTTGCTCAAGGGCACCTCAGTTGTGGTATTGATGGTGGGAGAGAGCGCTGTACATTCACTCCCCCCACCTACAATCCCTGCCGGTACGAGACTCGAACCCGCAACCTTTGGGTTACAAGTCCGACTCTCTAACCATTAGGCCACGACTTCCCCCAAGTCTGAGCGGTGGGGGAATGACTGAGCGGCGCATGGCTGCTCCCTTCACTGAATGATCACTTCTGAGCGGCGCATGCATAAAGCCGACCATCAACTATTGGCGCAAGCTACATTAAAGTGATTATTACGTTTTGAATATGGATATTTTTCTTACAAAAACGCATCGATGTGAGACACTTTTTATGGATGGGCGCTTTTTATTGAACTTCTTTTGGACTGATGCATGCAACACCTGCTGAGTGGCATTAAACAGCTTGAAAGATCAAAGACAATTTTTAATATAACTGACTGGATTCGTCTCAAAGAAGAAAATCATATACACCTAGGATGACTTGAGGGTGAGTAATTTATGGGCTAAGTTTCATTTTTGGGTGAACTAACCCTTTAAGCAATAAAATCAAATATATATTTTTTGCACTAAGTAAAGTACCAAATATCAAAATGTTCCATAGTAATACCATGTTTTTTGGTCATGTACCATGGTAGCGTCACAGTATTCTATGAAGAGTGTGAGTGCAGTAGAGCAGCAGCAATTTCCCAGCTCAAAGTATTCTCTAATCAGTCCACTTCAATCAATTCCACTCTGTGTTTTCAATTTTCTACTCCTCAAGGTTGTGCACAGTGCATTAGTATGATGTTAATATTTCAAAAGTAGCAGGACATTTGGAATAGACTATACATGAGAGGAAAGGGAAATATTAATAACATATTACAATAATTGATTCTCATAAACACTTTAAACTCATAAAGTTTCACAATTCTTTCACTTTGACTGCTGATAGTAAGAAAATGAATGAATGAATGAATGTATGAATGAATAAAAGTAAAACATGTATTTTTTAACATGTATCTTTAATATTTATCAAATTTCATGATTCACTCTGACTGCTAATATTAAGAAAATGTGAATAAATAAAGTTTAAAAAAAATTTGATAATTTTGATTGTTTCATATTTCACAAACTTCATACTTTTGTTCTTACTGCTAATAGTAAGAAAATAAAAAATAAATAACAATCTTTCACAATATCATATTAAATTCCATTATTGTTTCATTTCTGACTGCTATTGTATTATGGGATGATGACATGCTATGCTTGTCATGGAGCAATATTACACTGATCTTGGAACGAGAGAAAACACCAACGCTTTAAACACACACACACACACAAACACTCATTGCTCCAGGCAAAAACATGCAACACCATCCCCCACACCCCACTCTGCACCATTAACATATTCTGCATTGGAGAATCATGTCCAGTAAAAATCATATGAATATAGTACATGATTATGGTAATTTTACCACACTAACAAAGCCTGTTAATCATATTCACCATATTCACATTAGGGGTGTCACGATATACCGGTATTGATGATATTCGTGATATTCACGATATTCGTGATATTCAAATCATGAAAAATCGATTGATAATTGTGTTAATTTAGGGTGTGACGATATACCGGTATTGGCGATAACCACAATATTTAAAATGAACGGGGCCCATATTCACAAAACATATTAAGGCTAAAAGTAGCTCGTAACTCGCCAATTTAGGAGAAAATCTTAAAAATAATGGGCGTGTCAATCCTAAATTTAGGACTCCAAAATGGTTGATCTAAAAGTATTTCACAAAGCATTTTAGGGCTAAAACTAGCTCCTAAATCTGTGAAACGTTAGGAGTAGTGAAGAGGACTCCTAAGTCAACAAGACCAAATCTGAACTATCCTAAAATGGCTGTTGCCAGCAATCTACTCTTTACTCTAAAATATTTCCATGAATAAATCTCTGACAGAGACTATCAGCCAATCAACTGTGTGCATAGTTAGTAAGCATGCTGACATCATCCATAGCAACAAGGTCAACCCCGCCCTTACTCTTAGCTTAAGACTTGTCTCCATTCCTTAGTAAAAGTTTGTCTCAGCAGCTTTGTGAATAGGTTTTAAGAGAAAACTCTTTGCTAAAAACTTTTACTGCTATTTAGGAGAACTCTTAGTGGTAAGATAAAATGTTTTGTGAATACGGGCCCAGGACACTTATGATAACAGGACACACAAATAGCCTACTCCAGCGCCAGTACCTGGTTGTCCTCCCAGGTGGCAGTATTGCACCTTAACGCTGACACCTGTCAATCAAGAAGAAGGCACAGCATGCGGCCGTGCTACTCCAAGAAGAACCATGTTCAAACAGTAAGTTGCCATTATTTTACTAGTCATGGAATGGGAAACATTACATTAACCTGTTAACAGCGGTTTCCAGTGTTCATATATTTAAATAAAGGGGTGATTCTTTTAATAAGTAACGCGTTTTCTTTACTCGTCTAATTTTTGTATTTGTGTTTGCAATCAAGTCATGGCCAATACATGTGCATAGCACTTGATTTCTTTGTTCAAATCTATTACACAATTAAAACATCTAGAAAAACTAGCGACCACATTGCTACATTAAACTTTGTAAACTGTTAAGTTGGTCGCAGTGCCATGCACTTAATGCCTCATCTGTGGCCATTAAAACTGAATTAGAAGCGCGTTAACTGCATGACTAACTATAGGTTGTTGATTCTGACTTCTTTTTTTATTTTTTTTATTAGAAGGGTATATTCTGTTCTAATTTAATTATGTAAATTATTTTTTTTATTGTTTTCGTTGCAACGATGTTGCTCTGTACTTAAGAGCGTGCTCGCACAGGCAATTTAGCCGATTTAATTTGATTTGCCGACGTAAAATGCAAATCCTTATTTATGTTATTTTTTAGGTGTATATACTGTATATATGAAGAGTTCAGATGCAAAAGCCTCTAAAAATGCTAATTTTAGAAGAAAATTTCAGATGGCACTTAGACGCTTTTGCATCTGAACTGTTCATATCCAAAATGTTTTTATACATTTTCATCTGAGGAATCGTTTTCCAAGTTGTTTCTGTGTACGAAAGGAAATAAAAGTTGTCTTACCCACTTGTTGACTACCTGGTTCCCCCCCGATTTGACTATCAGTTGATTATAGTCTGATTCAGTCGAATCTGATTAGACTATGTAAATCCTTAGTCGGGGACACCCCTAATCGTGACAGCCCTATTCACAATACCCAGAACAGTCCCTTTATTTAACTGCAGCAACATGTGCTAATTCATATGATTAAACCACTTCTGAGCAGAAGTATATAAAAACTTCAATAAAAGCAAGAAATTGGTGCATTTACCATCAAGCACCTTTAAATAGTCCTTCAGAATAATCAAATGCTAGGATCAAGTTCTCTCATTTGAAAAATACAGATATGCTAGCACACACTCAATGTGCCACTGAGCTACTTGAGAAGGTGAGGGGATTGTGGGTAAAGGATTTGTAGTGGGTCACAAGTAGGCGACAGGAGATCTACATGTCCTTCAGAAATGCATCTACGATTACTCACTACTAATGTTACTGTCTGAGTGGGGATGCCACCAAGAGCCTCTTGTGTAGAAGGAGACTTGATTGACATGCAGAAGCTATTTGCTTGTCAGATTATCACTCATGGGAGTGAGGTGTTGGTGTTGATTTACACATTTATTCATGAAAAGTGTCATAGATGTGTGCAAACCAATGGTTGTCTGTGTGTTTCAGTGTGTCTAAAAGTGTAACTGTAGACAGATAGATAAAACGTATCTTCTGGGTGTTTGAAATGTTGAAACCTGATAACTTATTTATTCTTAAGCCAGGATGTGGTTTGCATTTATTGTCGTTGTGGATTTTGTGACGTGTGTTTAAGTTACTGGCATCAGATCAAAGTCTTTAGGGTGACAATCAGTTTGGTGATGTTTTCATTGTGACTCTCAAAATAAGAAATGAAAAAATGTGTCTTGAGGCACTCCTGTGGTTCTTTGGAAAACATGAACTGGTGCTTCAAAGAACCTAGACTTCACTCTTCCATAGCAATGATACTTAGAACCTGTACAATGATCTGAAGGACTTCTGATGTACTGAAACATGGAGAAATTTTTTTTTTTTTAAAGAGGCATACTGCCTCAATCTCAAGAACCCAATAAAAGTTATTTTAAAAGGAATAGTTCACAAAATTGAAATTGTCATTATTTACCCTCATTTACTCAAAAAATAATATAAAATAAAATAAAAGCTAGTTTCCTAATCTAGTTGCCTAATAAACCTAGCATTGCACAAAATGCATACTTTTGGCTCTTTGACGAATTGCTAAATGCATAAGTGTAAAAAATGTTTTTAAAAATCTATCTGCTTAAACAGTAGAGCATGGTGCTAGCCACACTAAGGTCATAGGTTCAATTCCCAGGGAAAGCAAGAAGTGAAAAATGTGTACCTTGAATGCAATAGAAGTTGTTTTGGATTTTTTTTTAAATGCTCCCAAATGCATAAATCTAATGTAAATATATGTATGAACTCTGGAAGGCATAATTCAATTAACAAGTTTAAAAATAACCAGAAATCAATAGATCGTTAATGCATTTTCCCATTGTATTCACATTTTTTAAATTTGTTTTATTTTATATTTATTTATTATTTTGCTATTATGAAAATGAGTACTATAGAAATTGTACAATTTATCTTTGGTGTTCCACAGAAGACAGGTTTGTATCAACGTTGCTAAACCTCTAATACTCCTCCATGTAAATATAAACTTACATTTATAACTGCATTTATAATTGTTTCATATTCCAGATGACTTGGTAGCACATAATCATCTTTATTAGATACACGTATCATTTGATTGCGTGGGTGCTCTGTCATTGTATTAATTAGCTATCTATTAGTCAACTGCATTGACTTTGATATTAAAATAAAATTAATTTTAGATTTACACTTATACTCACAGTTCTATGGCCTTGTTCCACATGATGACATATCCAGACAAAATGAAGGATTCGATGTTCACTATGTGTGTATTTCCACGCTCTGTCCCCACGTAAAGCCACTTACTTTGAAACGGAAGATGACAAAATGTGATCCTAAAAGAGAGATGAAAAGAAGAGGAATCATATTATTGAAAGAGAGAGGGAGAGAAGAGTTAACACAGGATATGTTGGCATCATATTAAAGTATGTAATTAATATCTCACTATATAGAACCAGCAAGCCAAAAATGACCATTGTAACTAATATACTTCAAGATTTTGATTCATATGCATGCACAACAATCATATTTTATCCAATTACATAGCAGCCAGTCACCATTTTCTTCAGAAAGCTGCAGATGTAATTACAAAACCGCATAAGAGTGTAATGTGCATTATTGTACATGTATTAATTACCAGAATAGACAGGAAACTGTACAAAAAGCTAAATAAGAACCAAATTATGTATGTGTAAGTTTAACGTTCTGCTCAAACTCACATTTTTCAACATGTCCTTGCTAATCATTTGAACTAGGGTTGACCTGTTAATTAAAATCTGAATCACAATATGGCCTTGTGCGATTATTAAACTGGAAAAAGGCTTCAACTGAATGAAATAAATATATGGTCTGCATGCAGTGTGGGCTTCAAAGTGAAGGGGCGGTGCTTTATTTTGTCTCTCGACTATTACACAAGAACACATGGGCCTCACGGTAGGATGTTTTCACATTCTGCTCATTTCAATGGTCTCATTGCATGTTTGCAATAGATGAATGCTGTGCACAAACTCCATCACTGCAGGTGGTTGAGTTTGCTTCCCTTTAAACCCGTGGTGTAGTCTGCTTGTAATGTGCATGTGCAAAACAGTCTAGGTAAACATTCATGTAATTCCAACATTTTTGTTGTTGTTGTGAGTTACTTTACAAACCTGACAGGGACGAGTCTCTCTGTCAGGTTTGTAAAGTAACTCTCACCAACAAAACACCATGAAAACATCAACATTGCTTATTTATTCTTTGGAAACTGTAATTATTTTCAGGATTATTAAATGTTTAGAAAGTTCAAATGAAGTGCATTTACAAAAAGAGCACTCTTAAAATATAAATATTTTATAACATTATAAACAAGAGTTATATGAACAGAGTAGTTGACAGCATTTATACAGATCATCAAAACAAAACAAAACAATTGTCAACAACTGTCAATCTTTCTCCAGATCAACAAAACAAAACAAAAAGCAACAAAAACAAATCAATTGTCAACTGTTATCAATAAGTGTCAGCTGAGTTGATAGCATTTCTCCAGATCATCAAAAACAAAACAAAACAATTACAATTAATTATTCTTAAAATTTTTTTTATTAAAAAATGAAATTAACAACCACAAGAAATGTGTCTTGCTGAACCACACTGAAGGCCAGTTCATCATCTTCTCTACAAAACACCATACAAACAACAAAATCCAACAGTTATTGTTTTATTTAGCACATATTTATTGTACATAGACCAACATTAAAAAACACCACAGACAGAATCCTGTGTGAACAACCCCTAAATCTACTTCTTAGTTTATCTTTATCGTCAGTTTAGTCTTATGGAAATAAATTGACATCTAAAAGACACTTTTTGTACAATCTATTCAATGCTGTCTTAAATTATCTTCATGTGGGGGTTTCCGTCAGCAAATATTGATAAACAATACGATTAATTGTGAAAAACAAGATTATTTTAATTCATGAAATAAATTTCATACTTTTTTTTTAATCAGAGACAAATCTTGCAGTCATTCGTGTTCAGAGGCAGTGATTCATAGCTCTCTGTGGTTCTCTGTTTCTTTAGCAGTTGGAAATAACACTTCTCACACTTGTTCATGGTGTTGCCTGGTTTGGCTCTGCTCTAGGGCTCATGCCAGTCAAACGTCAGCCCCTCTTGGGTACACTTGTGTGTATTTTGGGATGCAGCAATTAATTGGAACACGATTACCTCAAGACAAACTAGAGCTAATGAGACATGAATGAGATGAGAGTGACACTGACTCTTAGATTTTAACATGTGTTTTTAAATAGGTTTCTTATTCCTAATGATGCAATCTAGACCATTCAACCCTGCGTTGTCTATTCTAGAAAATCACGTATATGACAAAATTATTCTCCCCACGCTGGTGTGTTTGTGTGTTTATTTTCATAGCATGCCACTGTCTCTCCAGTGTCATCAAAAGGTTAAAAGAAAAGAGTAAGATTATATTTGCCTGATGCTTACTACGTTAATTGCGAAATAATTACGAAATTAGGCAGACTATTAGCACTCTGATTTATCTCTGCTACTGTCACAACAGAAAATCTCCAGGGAATGTGTCTAATAACACGCCACATATTTCTACACATGTAAACAGCGCTTAGCATTAAAAATGAGGTGAGCACTTCTTATTTCTTAATGCTGAACATGATATTTTATGTTTTCATTCATTAAATATTATATGTGGCTAACTGTGGCTCTCTAAAATGTCAACTCCTGGCTCATCCAGTACTGGGAGTTTGGGGCAAGATTACCTGTTTGTCCAAAAAAAAGTCTTTTTAAAAGTCTTGATAATATGAAGTATCCAGTGAGTAATTATGAAAATGGTCAATAAAACTATCACATATCCAGGGTCTGTTTAAGACTTCATGCTGAAATCCATCCAGTGGCATCATCAATCATCCTTATAAGCAGGTTAACTAGAAAATAAAGACCAGCACACGGTAATTCACTGCTGTCCACACTCATCACATCTCTCTCTGTTTTCCTCCCCTCACGCCCCTGGGGTCCTCAGACAGTCGGGGTGATTGGAAATGAAGGTTGCGAGATGCTGGACAGACAGCTAAACTTGTCAGGGTTAGAATGCTAATGGAGCACCTGGCCATGCTAATGTGTGGTTTTCTGTTTCTGACTGCAACACATGGAAAACCCAGATTATAAAATGACTGTCTTGGTGATTAATGGCATTCAGGGAGCAACTGTTTTAAAATGCTCTTTTGTTGGTTTGTGGATAACTAATTTAACCTGTTGTAGGCCTCTGAGGCAGCCAAGGTCAAAACCACACAGTCCAAAAGAGATGTGGATGTGTCTGATTGGACAAAAATCAGTGTAGTGCAGGATAAATATTTTTTCCTGTTTTTCAGATCTGTTTGCTAGAAAAAGAGAATGTGGATTTTAAGTATGTAAACTACCATCCAAATTTTGGGGTCAGTAAGATTTAAGATGTTATTCAGGAAGGAGGCAACAGATCGAAAGTGTTATTTTTTTTTAAATTATCTTATTTTTAACTTTCTAAAAAATGTATGGTTTCCACAAAAAATAATCAGCCCAACACTGACACTGATACTTCAACATTGCTAATAATAAAAATGTTTCTTGAATAGCAAATCAGCATTTTAGAATGATTCCTAAAAAAATCATGTGACACTGAAGACCGGAGTAATGGTTGCTGAAAATTCAGCTTTGCATTAGAGGAATAAATGACATTTTACATATAATAAATATAAAACAGTTATTTTACATTGTAATAATATTTCAAAATAATATCAAATATCAAATAAATACAGCCTTGTTAAATTAGCTAGCATAAGATACTTCTTTCAAAAACATTAGAACAGTTCAAACCAAATATTTGTGTGTGTGCAACGCATTTTACGAAGGACTGTTTCCTTAACCTGGGAGAGTAGACTACAATGCTGTTCTGACTCACAGCCTGTAAGTATGTTTTCATATTTAAAGAATTTGCCACTGAC